GATTCCTGAGGGATTCCCGGGCGGCTCTGGAAAAGGGGGGGGGAGGGGGGAACCCCAGCGACCCCCCTCCCCCTGGAGCGAGCCGCAACCAGGTAAACCCCGAGGATTTTAACCTAGAGAGCGAAGGGAAACGTTTTTTCCGTCCACTCGTCCTCAAATTCCCACTGGAAGGGGCTTAAAATCTCCCAAAAAGCAAAAAAGGGGGAAAAAAATCGGATTTTTAGGGAGATGGCGGTGTTGGGGTGACGCCCGGCAGCGAATCCCGTGGGAGAAGGAATTAATTTTGCCCAAGACGAGGGTTTGTTTCCATCGAGCCGTGGTGTTGTGGTTTATTTTGGCGTCGCCTTAGCTGAAAGGAAGCCAAAGAGGTGGAAAAATGAGGTGAAAAATCAGGATGGGGGGGGGGGTCCCAAAAGCAGCGCTCGCTTCCTCGGTCCCTTCCGGGTCGTTTTGGTGTCGCCGAGGCCAGAGCTGCTTTCCTCCAGGGTGCAAAAAAGAGCCTGGATTAATTAAAAAGAATATTTAATGAATAATTTGGGGGTGGCGGCATGAAAGCAGTGGGCGTTTGCCTGAGATCTGGTGGCTTTGGGGTCTCTGGTGGATGCCGTGGCGAGGGAAAGGAGCTTCAAATCTCCCCCAAAAACTTTCTGAGTCTCTGGATTTGGGGTCTTTCACCCCTAAAAACCCCCGAGGGCAAAAAAAATGAGGGGGACGTTGCCCCCCTCCCCGGATTTGGGAGAATTTGGGGCGCCGGAGGATTTAATTTCCCATAATTCTGGGTCGCTCGGGGTCTCCCCCGGAGCGAAGCCGAGGGCAGGGAAAATCCCCAGCTGTGCTTACTCAGCGCCTCGCCGCCGGCTTGTGCCTCGCCGCCGAGAAACGCTGGGTAAAACCGCAGCCGAACCCGCCTTTTGGGCCAAAACGCCCGCCTTTTGGGCCAAACCTCCTCATTTTGGGCCAAAACCCCCTCATTCTGGGCCAAAACCCCGGTGTTTTGGGCTGCCACGAGGCTGAGCCGCTTCCAGCCCCGCAGGTACGGCTTAACCCCAGCGCCTCCCTCCACAGCGACCCAACGAGGACGTGCAAAATCCCCTAAATTTACTTTTTTCCCCCCTTTTTTCTCCCCCCTTTCCTTCTCTCCACTGCTTTTCTGGGGCCAGATGAGTGTTTTGGGGCCGGGAAGGGGGAACTCGGCGTTATCGGTGCCTTTCACCTTCACCCTTCCCCTCCAGGGCGGGGGAAACCGCGGTGCCGCCGGGCTCACCCCCTTTCCTACCCCTCTACACCCCTTTTTTTCCTTTTTTTTTCCTTTTAAATGCCTCTTTTCCGGGTGTTTTTTTCCTTTTAATTCCCTTTTTCCGCCCGCCAACGTGGCCCGCGGCGGCGTTAACCCTTGAGCCGCTCGCCTGCGCCGCTCCCTCACCAGAGTTAAGCAATTGCTTTTTTTCCCCCCTCTTTCTTTATTTTCTCTTTTGTTTTTTTTTTTTTCTCCTCTGCCTTATTTTTTTTTTCCTTTTTCTTTCTCTTTAATTCCCCTTTTCTCACCCCTTCTCCTCCCCTTTCCTGCCCTCGCTGACGTCCTGCCTCCGCCGGCAGGAGCCGGGCCGGGCTCCGGGTGAGTAAAAACTCACTGAAAACGGGACTTTACAAGGATTTTAGTACTCAAACGTGCTATTATATTTTATTTATCCCAATTTTTCAAACAAAAAACGTTCCCACTTCACCCCCCCCCCCCCCCCCGCCGGGCGACCCCCCCGCGC